TCTGGTGAGGTGTACCCATATACCCCTACTTCTCTCCTATGAGTAGAGAAGTCCCAAACAATTAACTGAGTCATTTTCTTTAAGTTAGATAAAGGGTAATTTTATTTTAGTTAAAAGTTTGTAACATCTCCTTTCTCTCATCTTTCATCATTCTGTATTAAAAATTAAATCAGGATGAGGACTGCTATTTTAAAAGTGCTTTTATAAATTCTTTTAGAAAAATGAATGATTTCCAATTATAAAACATTACCCTAGATCCAGAAAAACACCGATTCTATGCCCACCTGACCATCGTCTGCACACCCCAACACTGCAGTCTGGCCGTCATTTCCTGGACAAGAGTTTTCTAGTACCTCACCTCTACCGCCCTCCACAGAAACCATCTTCCTAACGTGCACCCAGAGACGCTACTTTCCCAGCCCAGACCTTCATGAACTGACCACCGACCCAGCCGACACAGACTGTGGTCATGTGCCAGCTGCTGCTCGGGTCTCTGAGAGTCCACCGAGGACAATGAGAGATGCCACTGCCCCACAGAGCTCAAAGCCTGGCGTGTGAGGGACATTAAATGAGGAGACAATCATGAAAATAAAACAAACGAGAGAGCTGTCAAAAAAGAAAACGCGGGAGAGCGATCTCTGCAGGTTGGGTCGGTAAGGCCTCTCCCCAGCAGGTGCACTGGAGCTGGAGTCTGAGGAAGGCAGGCAGGTGGGAGGGTGCAGCGGGAGGACACGTACTCAGGCGGGGCAGTGAGCTCGTGGAGGCGGAAGGGAGCGCACAGAAAGCAGACAAGGTTCTGAGAAGTCCGAGGAAGTCAGGGAAAGCCGTGCGGCTGAAGCGTGTGGAGACAGAATCCACAGTTCCCTGGTGCCCACAGTAAAGGTCACATCCTTACAAGAGCGTTCGCATTCCGGTCTGAATCTACTGTCCTCTCTCCCTCCTGTTACCTCCTTTCGCTGACTCACTCTGTGACAACCCAGATCAGACACCTCACACGCCCACACCGTGATTCGTGGGATTTCTCTGCCTACACTGTTCTTCCTGAGCTTTCCCAGATTCCACTGGGCACAATTTCTCTCTCCCCTCTTCGTGACTCCAGAGCACTCGTTTTTAACTTGGTCCCTATGTTTCTAGGACTGATTCATATTATAGCTATGTACACATCTGTCTCCTCTGCTTATGACCATACGCCTTGTCAGTCATTTCTGTGTCTCCTACCCCGATCTTCCAAACACAAAACACAGTGCTCAATAAATGTCTACTGACTTAATGTGCTAGCACAAGTTTTTACAACTAGGTTAAAGCTGGATCACTTTTAACAACATTATATTAGATGATTAATATTAAATTAAAAGGGGTTTTAGATCAAGATACAGCTTTGTAATCATAATGTTTTTGTAGAAAGCATTATGGTCGAGAAATTTAAAAATATTCTTTCAAGATCATTTATAATAAAGGATAGGGGCCGGCACTGTGGCACAGAGGGTTAAAGCCCCGGCCTGTAGTACCTGCATACCATATGCATGCTGGTTTGAGTCCCGGCTTCTCCACTTTGGATCCAGCTCCCTGCTAATGTGCCTGGGAAAGCGGTGGAGGATGACCCAAGTGCTTGGGCCTCTGCCCCCATGTGAAAGGCCAAGTGGATGCTCCTGGCTCCTGATCGGCACAGCTCTGGCCACTGCGGCCATCTGGAGAGTGAACCAGAGGATGGAAGACCTCTCTGTCTCTACCTCTCTGTTACTATTTCAAATAAATAAAATAAATCTTAAAAATAAAAACAAAGGATAGTTCCCTTAATAATTACTAAGACATGCTCTACTGTTGAGTCTTGCCACTATAAAAAGTAATCAGTATATAAAGGAAAAGTAGGTTAACTAACTTTTTAAACAACAGAGAAGCACAACTGCTTAATAAAGGGGCCAGTGCTGTGGCATACCGGGTAAAGCTGCCGCCTGCAGTGCTGGCATCCCATATGGGCACAGGTTTGAGTCCTGGCTGCTCCACTTCCAATCCAGCTCTCTGCTATGGCCTGGGAAAGCAGTGGAGGATGGCCCGAGTCCTTGGGTCCCTGCACCCTCGTGGGAGACCTGGAAGCTCCTGGCTCCTGGCTTTGGCCAGGGTGTAGCCATTTGGGGAGTGAACCGGCGGATGGAAGACCTCTCTCTCTCTCTCTCTGAATCTACCTCTCTCTGTAACTCTTTCAAGTAAATAAATTAAATCTTTAAAAAAAAAAAGTCTTGTAAGTGACAACTACTCTAGCACCAGTCCTGTGGACACTTCACAGAACGTGCTGACCTCTTCTTCCCCGAGTACCACTCAATGAAGAACCAGTGTAACACAAGAGGGAGCATGGCCATGAAGCCCAGGTAGAGCCAGTCGTACAGCTCCGGGGACTCCGTGCAGGGCTGAAAGAGCTTCTGGGCGTCGGTCCTCTGTCCTCTTGGGCACACCTACAATGCACAGAGAGCAACCTTACATGCAGACACTCTGGACGCTAACACCTGCCCCGAACCACACTGTTAAACATCGCACTGCATCTTAAACATTTAAGTCTATGTTAGCTTTCAGAAATAAAGACTAAAGCATACATAAGACAAAAAGAAATCTACAGTGTTTGTGCTACAAAACGTTAAAGTAGAAAGTTATAAAACGTTAAAGTAGAAAGGATTCTTTTTACTTAGTTACCAAAATAGTTAACACTCAATGAAAAACCTAGCTACTAACATCATATAAAAATGATTTCCGAGAAATGTTCTGGATTACAATGTTAACTGAATGGACAATGGACAAGCCAGTGCACTAAATCCTTTTTAAATGTAATTAGAAATTACCATAAAATTATAAAAGGTTTTTAAAAACACTTAATAACTGACTCTCAAGGAAAGATGTATTACAGATATCAAGAGAACAATTCAAACAAGGACTTTATTAATGTCTCATATTCTTATAAATTAATGAGTATATTTTAAAGAGATTTCACAAAACAAACAGACTTCACCAATGAAGTAACACACAAACACCAGACTCACCCCACATTCTCCATATATTTCAGTTGAGCCATTTTTAAATAACAGGGTCTTCCCGCAGTAAAGTCCAAGGCAGGCTGGTTGAATATCGACAGCTTTTTAAAAACAAACGCCAGTAGAGTGACATCTTTGTGATTAGAAAAGAATAATGCAGTAACAGCTGAGGCACTGGGCAGACACAGCTCATCACAGCTTCCTTGTAAGACGCGACATGGATTAGGCAAGAGCCTGGTGCGTGTATTCCAGTGTGTGGCACTGCAGAAGGCAACCCTGGACTTCGTGCTGAGTGCACCCTGTGAGTAAGGTCCTGGACCAGCAGAGCAAGGCATCTCCAGACCTCACGTTCTAGCCTGGGCTCCACAGAGCCACTCACCTTGACTGGACTCCACTTAGGAACTTCACTGATCATAAACTTCCAAACTAAGCTTTCGAAAATGTGGACCCGACGGAAGGCGGCTGCTTGTTTTGTGCACACAGCACCTGTTCCCACCTTTGTGTGCAGGAGCACACGTGTTAACAGTACAAAGGCGAAAGGGTGTGATTCCAGAACCGAGGGCAGGCCTGGAGTAAACACACTCAGCTCTGAACAAAGCTCCACGCAATCTCAGGCTTGGGGAAAATAAAACAGCAGCTCCAGAGCCCCTGCAGCTCGGCCGGGACCTCACCCGCGGGAGGAGCCAGGAGGGAGCGATGCTTAATCAGAGACCCATGCTCTTCACTTGCTGACTGTGCGCTCAGTCCACACGCACAGCTAAGAGCCACTGGGGGCCAGGAGGAAACACCAGGGCCCCTGCTCTCCGGGAACGCGGTCAAGCGCGGTGTATATGTGAATTATTGTGGGACACTGTGCATTTCATGACTTCACAACCATTTCTCACATGCTTCCCAAACTCACCACCTAGAGACGCCTTTCTCCTTCAGATTGAAGGAGACTGGAATTCAAACAGGGATAGCCCAGGTGCAAACGACTCAAGTTTAATGTTCTCACTTTTACAAAATCTCTTAGTTTTCAGACCCATGGGCTTCCTCACTTTAATCTGCGCTTGCTTAACCCATTATAATCACCATGTTCTAGGCTCAGGCATGAGCACGAACTGTTTCACGCTTCTGGTGAGAGCAGAAGTTAAAGAATCCGCAGCTTTTCCTGCGGACTTTATTTACAAGATGCTTGCTAAATATGAGGGGTCTTCGAAAAATTCCCAGAAAACGTGCATTGTGAAAAAAACAGGTTTCAAAAATTTTTGCACCACAAGAAACGTGTCTTCTAACCCCAGTTTCCGCGAACTTCCTGATCTATCTTCCTACACTGGAATATAAATAATCCAAGGTCTCTCAAAGCCCAGGGTCTGAAAACCAGTGCAACAAACAAAGCAAGAGCCCATCACGTTCCAAAGGAAACTCCGGCTCCAAGCGCTCGCTGAGGCGGAGGACGGCGACGACTTTACGGCGCGACCGCCGAGCCTCCCCGGGAGGGACCTCCTACACCCGCACCTGCGGCCGCGGCCGAACCCGGTCAACTCTGCAGCCAGCGGCGGCGGCGGCCTTTCCGGTCCGTTCGCACTACCGCCGTCCTCGGAGGAAACACAGCGGCCGAGGGCACACTTCCGACCGGACAGCCAGAGGCCCGGCCTCCCGTGGGCGGCCAACGCGCCAGGAGCAGCGACCACCCCGACCCCGGCAAGAGTCCGGGCCGGGAGGGCGGCAAGGGGCGAGCAGGCGCCGCGCCCAGCCCGCCCGGACCTGCCGCGCAGCCAAGAAGCCGCGGCGAAGACAGGCGCTCCCCCGACCCTCGGCGCCCCCTCACCCATGAGCCATTTATAGGCTTCCCTGGAGCCGCCCAGGAGTCAGCGGACGCTGCTGGAATGCCCCGACATCCGGGCCACAGCAGCCTCGGAGGCTCCGCCCCCGGTAACCTAGACGACCGCGCCGCAGCCCCACCCACTTCCTGGTCTCGGCCACGCCCCCTGAGGCTGCCACGCGTCCTGGCTCTTTGGGGGCCGTCGCGTGCTTAAAAAGCGAACGCTGCGGCGGGGCGGTGGTCGAGTTTCCGAACGCGGACGATGGAGGGCTCGCTGGCCGTGCCTCGCCTGCCCCCGCACGACCCGGGGACGCCGGCGCTGTCGGTGGTGGACATGCACACGGGCGGCGAGCCCCTGCGCATCGTGCTGTCCGGCTGTCCGGAGGTGGTCGGCCCCACGCTGCTGGCCAAGCGGCGCTACTTGCGCCAGCACCTTGACCACGTGCGGCGGCGGCTCGTGTGGGAGCCGCGGGGCCACCGGGACATGTATGGGGCCGTCCTGGTGCCGAGCGAGCTGCCCGACGCGCACCTGGGCGTCCTGTTCCTGCACAACGAGGGCTACAGCTCCATGTGCGGCCACGCCGTGCTGGCTCTGGGCCGCTTCGCGCTGGACTTCGGGCTGGTGCCAGCCCCGCCGCTCGGCGCCCGAGAGGCCCGCGTCAACATCCACTGCCCGTGTGGACTGGTGGCGGCCTTCGTGGCCTGCGAGGGCGGCCGCAGCCGCGGCCCTGTGCGCTTCCACAGCGTGCCGGCCTTCGTGCTGGCTGCAGGTAACGCGGCGCAAGCCGGGACGCAGGTGCCTGGGCTGCACCCCGCGCGGCGCCCTAACCCACCCAGCGTGCGCTTGCAGTTACTAAAAAGGCGCTTCGGAAACCGCACGCGTGTGACGGCGAACGGGGCGCATGCCATCCGGCACATTTTCCCTCCGGGGCCCTGGGAAGGAAGGAATTTGTAGCTCGCTTGGCCCCGGGCTCCCTTCCGCGCCTCAGCAGCCCTGGCTCAGGTTTCACATTTGGGCAGAGCCCAGCAGGGTCTGGGAAGGGGCAGAGAACAGCGAGGGCACCAGGGGGCACCAGGGTCCCGGCTTGCCCCAGTGACACATTGTTACCACCCACAAGGCGCTGACACTGCCCCCTTTCCTCCTGGGTCGAAGTGCCGCCAGCCGCCGCTTGGAGAACCCTGCGCCCCGCAGTTTAGAAGATGGGGCTCTATCAGCACGGGCCATTGCCTGAGCTCAAATCCTGCTACCCCTGAAAGCTGTGCAACCGTACACCGATGATTTAGCCTCTCTGTGCCCATGTTGCTTCGCTTAGCTCACGGGGGTTGGGGTTCGGTTGAGAGATATGAGATAGTTATGATTTTTATGTGAGATATATAACCGGCATGGAAACACTGTGGGATGCTAGATGACTGGAGTTCTGTAGGCGCGTGGCGCCATGAGAAGACTGTGCGGTTCCCTGGTACAGATGCCCGTGTATCATGGAAACCTTGTGTAGGATCGGGAATCCGTACAAAGGGGCGATCCCTCACCGGGCTGGCCTCTGGTCTGGGTGTCTGAGACTCCCTGTACTGTCCCCAGGAAGGCTGCGCCCGAGAGCGTGCTGGGAGCTGACTGAGCAGGGCAGGCGCAGGGTTATCCCTTTTTCCCCTTAAAGTCTTCAGGCCCTGAACGTCATTCTGCGGAACAGTTTGATCCTGAATCTCCGAGGACTTGGATTCCAGCATAGCTTTGTGTTGAAGGTCGTCCAGGCAGTTTTCAGCCTTAGAGCGAGGACAAGCAGCTGCAGGCAGCCTCTGGGCACGCTGATGCCGCGTCCCCCTTTAGGGAAGCCTGGTGACACGTCCACGGAGGGAGCAGGATTTATGCGTAGGACTGGATCTGAAACAGCTTGAACAGGTCAGAGAGCAGGGCTGCCTGAGTCCACCCCCTTCCCTCCCCACCCCCTCTTCTCTCCCCGGGCTTCCCCACAGCGGGTTATCAGCACTCTGGAGTTTGTGGGAAATGAGAGCTGGCAACAGGCTCACCAGCTACTGAGCCGGCCCCTGCAGCACAGCGGCCCCGAGACCTTCACTGTGTGACAGCACGAGTGGTCACTTGGAGTTAACTAGCAGCATGCGCTCCCACCTCTCTACTTTGGAAAATGCATGGAAGGCAGAGTGATGGTATCAAAGTCCCTGCTCTGCCCCTCCCCACGTGGATGACCTGGTGCAGGAAAGTCCACAGGCCAGAGTCACAGTTTGTAAAGAGAAGAGGACAACGGGACCCCCCCCCCCCCCCCCCCCCCCCTTGGAGGGCTGCTGAGCTCATTTCCACCCCAGCAGGCTGAAAGGCAAACTCCTTTGTTTTGCTCCCTGTCCTCACAGTGCCTAGAAGAATGTGGGTGGTTAATGAGGATTTGTTGAATGAATAACTAAATGGAATTTGGAGAATATGTTGATTGGGAAATGTAGGTATGTAGTCCTCTTGAGAACCCTATTCCTATTGGAAATTAAGCATTTATTAACATTTATTGTGTCCCTTTTTTTTTTGTGCCAGGTACTCCACACACATCATCACATGAATTTCTCAAAACGACCTAGGTACAGAAAATAGCAATTCCATTTCACACATGAGGACACCAAAGCCACACTAAGTGGCAGAAACAGGATCTGAACCTAGGCCTATGAGTGAGCCTCACTCATCCTTGAATTTTTGTGGTTTAAAGAGATAGGTTTCAATTTTCTGGAAAACTCCACGCCATTCACTCTTATAGCGTCTTTTAAAATGTGTCTTCCTTGTGCAATTTGTTTTACCTCTGAAGGGGCAAAGCCTGTGTGTTATTCCTCCTGTACCTTTTACATCTTCGGAGTAATTGGCACATGGGAGGTGCTTGCTAAAACCCAAATCAAATTAAACTCCCAGTGATAAGCTTGTGTAGAAGAAATGAAAACCCTGAGATTCGGGATTGAGTTCTGCAGAGAGGTTGCATGTTTCAGTGAAAAGAGTTTGGGTTTTGGAGTCACCCGGTTATGAGGTTGACTCCCAGCTCTGCCACTTACTCTGTGAGTGACTCTCCAGTACTTGAGGTGGTGCAAAATACAGTGCCCCCTCGCAAGGCTGTGGTCTTAAGGAGCTAATGCCGTGAGTAAAGGGGCCAGTGCATGTGACATACCTGGCACACAGGATGTGCTCGTGTGAAGCAAATATTTTAGAATATCTCTCCAATGTTAGTCATTTTAGTGGAAAAAAATAAAAAAGTTCGTGGGGCTGGCATTGTGGAACAGTGAGCTGAGCTGCCGTTTGTAGCACCAGCATCTCTTACTGAGGCGCTGGTTCTAGTCCCCTGTGCTCTGCTTTCTATACGTCTCCCTGCTAATGGCCTGGGAAGGTAGCGTGCTTGGGCCCCTGCAACCCACGTGGGAGACCCAGATAGAGTTCCTGGCTCCTGGCTTTGGCCTGGCCCAACCTTAATGTCTGTGGCCATTTTGGGGAGTGAATCAGTGGATGGAAGATCTCTCTCTCTTATCACTCTGCCTTTCAAATAAAGAAATACATCTTTTAAAAATGAGGGGGAAAGAAAGTCATAGAACATAAATGGATGGAAGTAACTTTAAAAGACATATGGTTCATTTTAAAAAAGAGGAAGCAAATTTAGTGAGGTGTGGTACTCTACCCAGTTGCCCATCCCAAGTAAACCAGGCCCCAGGGTTCCAGAAATGGTGAACCAGGGGAGCACTTGGAGGCTCAGCGACCACTTCTGCTGAGTCAGCTTCCCCACTGGATCCCAGATGTTTTCTTTTCATAACTTAATTTCTAGAGTTGAGCACCCACTTTGTCCTGTTGGTGGAATTAGCCACTTCTCTCCGCGCGCTGTCCCCTTCCTATATACAAGGGTGCTGCAAAAAGTTTGTGGAAAATTGAATCAAATGAGGAGTTTATTTTGGAAAAAGTTTTGAAATCCACGCATAGTTCTATCATGATAGGCACCCTCCATACACTTGATGCAGACCATGCATATGTGTGAGCAAAGGTTTGTTAGCAGTGCAGGGCCTTGGGGAGGAGGGTCCTTGGGTCCCCACTGCGCAGCTCACTGGCGGAGCAGAGCGTCGTCCGCCCGCCCCTCCTGGCTTGCTGCCTCTTCCTGTGCTGCACTGTCAGCACTGTCCCCTCTGCACTCTGCCCCTGCAGCCTCCCCTTCCCAGTCCGGAAGAATTCCTCCTGTCTCTAGGAGAAATATTTCTCCCTAAGGACACCCCTTTGCTGACACAGGTCTTCCCCCTGAGAGCACAGGTTTCTGTGAAACACAAACAGGCGGCCCTGCTTTCTCTCCTAGGCTATGCCCTTCATCCCGGGCACAGTCACCAAGCTAACTTGAACAGGAAGAGGGGTACAGAAGAAAATTCGAGAAGGGCTAGAGACAATTTTACTGCCCCCAATATCACCCAGCCCCACTCTTTGGAAGTTCAATTTTGAGATTTCAGATAACTGACCTTAAGGGAAGCTTTGGGTATGCTGGGGTCTTAAAATGCTTAAGCAAGGACCCTGATGCAAAGCGATACCTCAGAGGGGAGTGATTTCCCCTGGCTTTGTTCAGTCGGCCTGCGGGATACCATCATGCGACGGAGGAAGTTTGTGTTTATAGTTTATATAGCCAAGTTTCTCTTTTTAAAATACTTCTTTTGCCACTACAGCTAAGAAAAGTAGCTTGTGAATAGGCTGCCAAATCCTCACTGTTTCCAACCCTTCCAGTAGTGCAATGGGGACCTATGTTTCCTTCTTACTGCTCAAGGAGTGATGTCTCGGGTGTGCCCTCTCTAGGCCGCTAGGATATTTCCTAGAAAAAAGCCTTCAGGTAGTTAACAAGTGTGGACAGGTTCAGAACAAATGGAATCAAAGGTAAGTTTTTTGGTGTAAAAAAATTTTCAAAATCCATGCATGCGAGCAATCTTCAAAAATTTAGTGGAAAATGTGTATTATGAAAAAACTACATATTTTGCAATATATACATGTATTGTAGGGACAAATAATACATTTGGAGGTTTTATAACTTATGCAAACATCAAATTAAAATACAAAGATGCTCCTGGCTATTATTATTTTTAAGGTTTATTTATTTATTTGAAAGTCAGAGTTACACACAGAGAGAAAGAAAGGCAGAGAGAGAGAGAGAGGTCTTTCATCTGCTGGTTCACTCCTCAATTGGCCACAATGGCCAGAGCTGCGCCGATCTGTAGCCAGGAGCCAGGAGCTTCTTCTGGGTCTCCCATGCGGATGCAGGGGCCCAAGGACTTGGGCCCTCTTCTACTGCTTTCCCAGGCCACAGCAGAGAGCTGGGTTGGAAGTAGAGCAGCCGGGACTTGAACCTGTACCCATATAGGATGCCGGCACTGCAGGTGCTGGGTTTACCTGCTATGCCACAGCGCCGCCCCCCTTAGCTATTATTTACCTGATGCTACTCATTTTGAAAATGCATGTCTGCTTCCTTTTTAGTATAGGAAAAGCCCTCCCCACCCAATCCCTACTTCTGTGGATTAAACATATTGAACACGCTATGAATTTTGTTGCTAAAATATTAAAACCAAACTCATTTCCAAATACATCTTTTTTAGATCTCATGGTGGACGTTCCTGGACATGGAAAGGTGGTGGTGGATATCGCGTATGGTGGTGCATTTTATGCGTTGGTCAGTGCTGAAAAGTTAGGACTTGACGTGTGTTCTGCAAAGACAAGGGTGCTTGTGGACGCAGCAAGTGCAGTGACCCAAGCAGTGAAAGCTCAGGTCAGTACAGTGGCTGCCTTCATTATAAATGCTTTCCTCTGTGGCGTGAAGACATAAAGGCTATCCTGTCTATAAAGAAAGGCAAATATGTCTGTCACTCAGTAGTAGTATTAAGAATAGGGTACTGGCAGGTTGAGCCCTGCCTGAGGTGCCGACATCCCATGAGAGTGCTGGCTCGAGTCCCAGGTGCTCCACTTCTGATCCAGCTCCCTGCTAGAGCACCTGGGAAAGCAGTGGATGATGGCCGAATGCGTGGGTCCCTGTGCCCACGTGAGCAACCTGGAAGATGCTCTTGGCTCCTGGCTTCAGCCTGGCTCAGCCCTGACCATTGTGGCCATTTGGGGAGTGAACCAGTGGATGGAAGATCTCTCTCCCTCTCTCTTTCTCCTCCTCTCTTCAACTCTGCCTTTCAAATAAATAAATAAATAAATCTTAACCAAAAACAACTGAAGCTTTGAGTAAGACTACCTGTGAGTTCTACCTTGGCCAAACCTCCTTCATGTGTCTGTCTACCTATAAAATGGAAATTATGTAAATTACTAAGTGTCTGCTTTGTGGGTTTGGGTTGTGGTAAGAATAAAATAAGCCAATACATGTAAAGGGGCTTAGAGTATTATCTGGCCCATAATAAATGTTTAATAAGGGCATTAATAAATGACAGCTCTTATTAACTTTAATAGTACTTGTATAATAATATAGTTTATGGTTACTTAAACATATAGTAAATGTACCAGGGTACTTCAGAATGTGGAAAATGGAATTAAAAGTTAAGTTTATTTTAGTGCAAAAAAAGGTAAAATCATATGTATGTGGGGTCTTCAAATGCATATTATGAGAAAACTACATATGGATTTAAAATGAACTTATCTTTTAAGTCCATTTTCCCATGAAGTTTTTAAAGTACCCTCATATTGTAAAGTATCCCACTAATTCGAAGTGGTTGTGCTTTCCTATGTGTGGTCATTCTCTCTGAAAACTTGAAATAATGAATTTAGATATAGGTTACAAAATAAGAGTTCTTTAATCCGATAAGACTCTTATTTCACAGAGAACATTAATTCCTAATTCTTGAATGTTTTCTGTATTGCTAAGAAGCTATTCAAATAATTAGGTTTAGCTTGGAAAAGCTGATTTTTCCAAGTTTGTAATGAATGATAATATCAGTTTATAATAAATGGATCTAGAATATTCTTTCATTTCTGGCACAGTCTGCATATGACCTTGGAATTGGGACCTATAAAGAAAACACATACAGTATTTGAGTATCTTGGATATTAGTACTAAAAATAACATGAAAACTAGTATCTAACAATTATGGTACTGTGCTAATTACTGCACTAATAATTATTATGGGCCCATTTAACATTTTTGAGGGTTTAATCTAGCACAATTTATAACATAAATAGCAAAATTAAAATATATAGTAGTATTACTTTTCTAAATCATGCTTTCCTGGGAGTGTCAGAAGAAATATGCGGAAGTATTTTATCATAGTATCTTCCAAATACACATCAGTTCTGCTCAAGGGGACAGCCAATAATTTAACCATTTGGCACAAAATAATTTCACTTGCTTTTTGGTGCAATCCAGAGAAAAGTCATAGTTTCTTTAATTAAAAGAGCACTTTTTTTTAAAGAGATTTAATTTATTTGACAGGTAGAGTTACAGACAGTGAGAGAGAGAGAGACAGAGAGAAGATCTCCCTTCTGTTGGTTCACTCCCCAGATGGCTGCAACGGCCAGAACTGTGCCGATCCGAAGCCAGGAGCCAGGAGCCTCCTCCAGCTCTCCCATGGGGGTGCAGGGGCCCAGGCACCTGGGCCATCCTCCACTGCCTTCCCAGGCCACAGCAGAGAGCTGGACTGGAAGAGGAGGCAACCGGGACTAGAACCGGCGCCCATATGGGATGCCGGTGCTGCAGGTGGAAAGATTAACCTAGTGTGCCATGGCGCCAGTCCCAAAAGAGCACTTTTGAGACAGTGGAACCACTTAGCCGATTGCAGGTGCAGACTGCTGCTGCTTTCTTGTAAACTTCGGGCTTACGGCCTCTCACCGACCTGTCTCCTCCATCGCTGGTAATACCTTCAGCTCTGGCCACTCCCACCTGATTCTCCACGTTCTCCCCTTCATGCTCCTCAGGATAGAGTACAGTGGCCTCCGCTCCGCAGCCTGTGGCCTGGGCATCAGGGCCAGTGCTCCTAAGAGCGTGTGTTTTGGAGATGTGTATAAAATAGCACGGTTCCTTAGTAAAGCCTGTGAGTAGGATGGCTCCGTGGAGGGGCTCAAAGCATCTGAGTCAAAGTATTGGTTTGGGATTGGGCACTGGGCCTAGCGGTTAGATGCCAATTAAGATCCCTGCACCCCGTATCAGAGCGCCGAGGTTCGTACCCTGACTCCACCTGCTAATGCAGACCCTATGAAGCAGCAAGTGATGGCTCAAGTCACTGGTCCCGCCACACACAGGAGACCTGGATTAAGCTCCCGGCTCCTGGGTCCATCCCCCTCCTAGCCACTGCAGCAGGCATTTAGGGGGTGAGCTCTCCCTTTCTCCCTGTCTCTCAATTTAAAAGAATCAGTTTCATGTGTGGCTGATAGTTTCCTTTTTACTGTTTTCAGTTTAAAATTCACCACCCTGACAGTGAGGACCTTGCCTTCCTGTATGGAACTATATTAACAGATGGAAAAGATGCTTACACCGAGGACCCAACCACCAACCTCTGTGTGTTTGCAGATGAACAGGTACTAAAACTGTGATTTTAGGCACGAGAGGTAAGTCACGGGGGCCTGGAACGTGCTTGTTTCCTCTGCACAGGTTGACAGGAGCCCTACTGGCTCGGGAGTGACAGCCCGGGTTGCTCTGCAGTATCATAAAGGACTTCTGGGACTGAACCAAACCAGAGCCTTCAAAAGCAGTGCGACCGGCTCCGTGTTCACAGGGAGTGCCGTGCGGGTGAGTGACAGCCTTCAGTTCTGGGTTGCAGATGTGCTACTTAGGAGGCTGAATGGGCTGAGCTGCCTGCTGGGTTAAGTTTTCTCTCTCAGCTCTCAGAGGAGAATTTTAAAGAGGCTCATAAAAAGTTCTGTTCAACTAGGACGCTGGTTCTCAAAGTGTGCTCTGTGGATCCCATGGGGGTCACCAAAGTCATTTCTATACACCCCCAAGGTCAAAACTATGTTCATAAGAAAACTAAGACATTGGGCCGGTGTTGTGGCATAGCAGGTAAAGGCGCACTTGCAACACTGGCATCCCATATGGGTGCCGGTTTGAGTCCTGGTTGCTCCATTTCTGATCCAGCTCCTTGCTAATGTGCCTGGGAAAGCAGTGGAAGATGGTCCAAGTCCTTGGGCCCCTGCCACTCATGTGGAGATCCAAATGAAGCTCCTGGCTTCGGCCTGGCCCAGCCCCAGCCATTGTGGCCATTTGGGAAGTGAACCAGCAGGTAGAAGATCTCGATATCTCTGTCTGTCTCTCTCTCTTTCTCTACCTATGCCTTTTAAATAAATAATTTTTTTAAAAAAAGAAGTAAAACAATGCCACTTTTTAAATTGTTTTTGCTTGTTTTGACAAATACAAGGGGTTTTCAAACAGTTCATGGAAATGCATGTTGTGGGGAAAAAGCTATCCAAAGATTCTAGAAAAAACTTGCATCAAAATAAGCTTATATGAGTCTCTTGGACTGACACTGTATTGACCTACATTATGTTGCTGTTAGCCAAAGCAGAGGTTCCACGAGGCTTTATGTACAGCAGCTTTGTAATAAGGCTTTCCTAAAAATGTCAGATTTGACATTAGAAAATCAGACACACTGCAGTTGAGACTTGCGGTTATTTATTTTACAGTTATTAATCATGCTTACCAGAATATGAAGGACTAAAGAAGGTTTATGGAAAATGGAATTAAAATGTTTATTTTGGTATACAGATTTTTGAAGTCCATGCATAACTTTTCCGTAATATACTCTTCCCACGGACTCTTTGAAGACCCCTTGAGTTCTCCTCTTGCACCTTCCTGCCTCTGTCTGGCTCTGCCAGCCTGTCTGAAGGTAACGTCTCAGTCTCCATCCCAGCCCAGCCGTCTTTCCCGTCCTGTATCTCGTTACCTCCAACATTCGTCCTCAGCTTCCTTCTCATCTGCAGTGCACGCCTTCGGAGCAGGTTTTCTTCCACTTCTTAGACTTCCAATTCTCAACCCTCTGCTGCTGCCGACCCAGATTTTCACCTCCAGCCCCTTCTCTCCCCAATCTACCACTCATTCCTAGCTGTTCACCTTACTCATCTCAATGACTGTCCCAGAAGTGTCTCAAACTCAACTCGCTAAAAGTTCTGCCTTCCTAAAATGTCCTTCGTCCACCTCTCTCATTCCTTAGCTTGGGTAATGGCATCAGTTAGAGTAACTTGCACACTAGAATCTACAGTCACGTAACTCACTGCCATACCTTATTGCTCATGCATGGCAGGCAACAGTCTTTCAATTCTCCCTCCAAAGTAGCTGTTATCGGCTAGCTTTCTTGAGAATTTTAATATAATTTTGAGGGTCCTTGCTGTCTATTCAGATAAGAATTCTGAATATCAGCTCAAATTAAACAGGCGACGTGGTAAGGTTTTAACATTGATTTAGAGAGAGAAATACACAGGAAAGTGAAGGCTTATAAGGGAGAAGGAGCTTAGACGTTTACCAGGCTTTTCCAGGGTGTAGACCGGTGGCTGCCAGGTAGAGAGAGCATGTGGGCAGGAGAGCGCATGGGGCCACACAGGCAAGCAGGCATCAGGGATTGGCCCAGAGGCCAGAGTGAACAAGAGAGAGGCTCCAGGCCTTTTAGTCACTTCCAAAGGGGAGTGGTCAGTAGTCTGATGGGCAGGTGGGCATACAGGTGAGGTCATGAAAGGGGCAGGGCGGAGGCGTGGTCTTCCAGCTCATGAGTCTAATCCCTCTGACCTTTCTGCCTGCCTATATCAGTATGCTCTCCTTCTGTGTCTTCACTGACAACTACCCCAGTGACTGCCTTCGCCTGAGGAATTAAGGTGACTCTAACAGGTTTCTGGGCTCCTGGGCTTGTCTCCAGTCTGCCCCACTTTACAGCAAAGCCTACCCAAAGCATGAGTCTGACCAGGTCCCTCTCCTTCCAACCTTCATTGCCCATAGGATTAACTCCTGGGTTTTCTTTAGCATGCTGGAAATCGAAGGTACAACTTTTAAAAGCAGACACATATGAATGCAGTATTTTGATAACAGACTCCTTTCATCCCCCCCCCCCCCCCAGGAAGCCACGTGTGGAGACTTCAAAGCCGTTATAGTGGAAGTATCCGGACAAGCCCACTACACGGGGACTGCAAGCCTTATAATAGAAGAAGATGACCCACTGAGGGATGGCTTTCTTCTCAAGTGACTTCTTCCATGACACTTCAGGGCTTTCTTTTAAAAGTAATTGTTGTAGCAGGTTCTCTAAATTACAACGATTCTTCAAGAGGGTTGTGGAAATGGAATTAAAATACAAGTTCTGAAATCCAGCATGAGGGGTCTTCAAAAAGTTCACAAAAATACATATTGTGAAAAAGCTATGCCTTGTTTTGAAAATTTTTGTATCAAATAAACGTCTTTTTTTTCCATTTCCCACAAACTTATTAAAGAACCCTTATATGTGAAACCAATGTCCAAATGATATACCTGTTAATTTCCATTCTTTCTAAAATAGTACACCTTGCCTAAATATGGTCATTATCTTCCTGTTTGCAAACATATAGCAGCATAAACATTGCTTATATCTAGCATACAAAATGCCAACATTCAGAATACTTTCCTAATTAATATATCAGATAAAGCCTGTTACTTTTAAAATATTACTCTGTGGTAAATACTGTAATATCTCATCTTAGAGGCTCTTTGAAATTGTAGCCCTCCCAACATTGAACATTTTTTTTTCTTGAAAGAGTTACACACAGAGAGAAGGAGAGGCAGAAAGAGAGAGAGAGGTCTTCCATCTACTGGTTCAGTCCCTAATTGGCCGCAGTGGCTGGAGCTGCACCCATCCGAAGCCAGGAGCCAGGTCTCCCACGTGGGTGCAGGGACCCAAGGACTTGGGCCATCTTCTACTGCTTTCCCAGGCCATAGCAGAGAGCTAGATTGGAAGTGGAGCACCCAGGCCTCGAACTGGTGCCCATATGGGATGCTGGCACTGCAGGTGGCGGCCTAACCCGCTACACACCACAGTGCAAGCTGGGAGGGGCAGTCTTAACAGAGCCTTTTCCAATTGTTTTTGTCAAAACCTAAATCCCGTCAGTTTGCAAATATTTGTTGGAATGGGCTTCCGTCCTGTTTTGTTGAGTGCTGAGTGTGGGATGCGCGTTAGGCTAGCCCTGCTTCTAGTGCCAGGCTCCTCAGTAAGTTCTGGCCATGCAAAAAAAGCTGAACAGTGGGAGACTGGTAATACTTAGATAACCACAAAACACAGGCAGTGGTTATATGCTACTAGTGGAAAAACCGGTGAACGTGATCCAGTGTGTGTATTGTGGGGCTGGGGGCAGGGGGTCAGCCATGGAAGATTCCCCCCGAGGGACCAATCTTCATGGGGATCTAGGAGGGGGACAGGGGGTCAGCCATGGACGACTGCCCCGAGGGACCAACCTTCACGGGGGATCTAGGAGGGGGACAGGGGGTCAGCCATAGACGACTGCCCCCTGAGGGACCAACTTTCATGGGGAGCTGAGGTGGGGGGGGGGGCAGGGGCAGGCCACAGAGCTCTCTAAGTGCTGATGCCCTAAGGTGAGACGTTTAAAGAACTCCAAAAGGCCAGTGTGACTACAGGGGACTGAAGAAGAAGCCAAGTGGTCCCAGATGCGGCTAGAGTGGCCACCGCCTGAAACCTGAGCCACAACTTCACTGGACGGTGACGCCTTCTTTTTCCTGTCCCGGGGTCTCCGCTTCCTGGTGTCTGGGCTGCGCCGCGGTGACTGCCTGGCACGCTGCACCTTAGTCTCAAAACCTGCCCCATTCCAGAGCGCAGATGCAGGACGCCCTCAGGGCACGAGACCAGTCCCCGGCCCAGGCCCCTCACCTGCTCCTAGCAGCCTGCCGCCCGGGGCCCTTGGAAAGCAGGTGACTCCCACCTCCGAATTCCACAGCGGGGCTCCTCAGAGCAGATGCAGGGGACGCAGGAGCCCATTCGCAAATAATTCGGGGCGAGGGGCGGGGGTCACTCCTCCCAGAGTCCTCACCAGGACTTCCGCCCCGGCGCTGGCCCCGCTGCTCATCTTCCTGGGCAGCAGCGCCGTGTGTGGGGGGTGATCCTGAAGCACCCGCAGCTCCGCGCCTTCCTCCTGTCGCTGTGCCCGCCCGCCTTCTTTCTGGACCCTCTCACGCCGCCCCCGGGGGCCAGTGGGCGCAGCTTCAGCGTGGTGGCCCCACGTTCAGTGTGGCGCTCATTTTGCTAGACCGCTGCTGCCCCATTGTGCTGCCGCCGCGGGACCCAGATCGGCCTTAGCTTCGCGCTGCGCTGCAAGCCTGGTGGGGAAGCTGAGCCCTGCATCCTGCGGCGGGCGGTGGCCCAGGGCTTCCGCAGCTGCCTCTACCGCACCCTCCGCGGACCGCAGCGCAGCCTCGAGCGGCCTACAGCCTGGGGCGGTGACCACCTATGCGCGCTTGCTGCCCTTCTTCAGCAGGTGCGCAGGGCCACCACCATGCTCATCATGTCTTTGTCATCTGCTGCTGGGGACCCTGGTGCTGCTGGCCACAACCTGCCAGGCCCAGACCGTGCAGGTGCCCTCGGCTGACCTGGGCCAACGTGGTGGCTGTCTGGCTGACTTGGGCCAACAGGGCCAGCAACACTGTCATCTGTGCCATCTGCAACCCCGACATTTCCATGCTGCTGGTGTGGGAAAGCTTAGATAACTTAAATTCATGAGCTGGAAGCCGCACCTCCCTCAGTGTTGCCATGTCCCTGTCAATCAACTGAACCCTCCCCGAAAGTACTTCCTTTCACCCCGGACGTGGGGGTGGTGCCATGTAAACACTTTCAGTTTTTTTTTAGATCATCAAAAGCCAGGTAGAAGGGAAACTCACTCTCTCCCTCATGCACTCAGGAAGAGCAGAGCAGGCTTCAGAAATTCCGCGTTCCCTTCCCTGGCCCCCTCTCCCTAAGCCCTTGTGTCTTTCTTACTCTGTAAATAAAACTTACCCTACTGCACGTCCTATTTGTGCCTGTACTTTGAAGCAAAAGATGACAAGTCTGGAAAATTAATTCAGTCTCAACCCGTCCCCTAACCCCCGGGTGCAGCCGCAAGGAAGGCTACTGGACTAGGAATGTGGACGCTCTCCTGCCCAGCCAGGGCCTCAATCCACTGGCTGGGAGCCGCCAGCACCTTCCACACCACTGTGGTAAGCGGCTGGCCACTTGCAGTAGAATGGCCTTTTCCAACCCGGCCATCGGCCATCGGGGCTGGAGAGGATGTGGCCATGTGGGCTTGGAAAAACCCAGTTGTGCTTTTCTGCCATGAGGGGCCCCCAGAGCCTGTCACAACGCTGGCCAAACCCATAAGCTGAAAGCCAGGGATACCAGGAAGGCCTGGGATGGGAGCGTGTGAACACAGATTTCCACCTGTTTCATTGAATGATATAGGACTCCGGGGAGAATCGTGGGATTCCATAAAGCCGAACATTTTATTTTTTAAATTATTTTTAAATGATTCTAAGTATTTTATTAGTTTATGATGTATCTGAATTTTGGATGGCTGACCTCCATTTCTCAGTCTTTCTATAGTTTCTTTTTTTTTAAAGGTTTTTATTTAATGAATACAAATTTCATATGTACAGCTTTTAGGAATATAGTGGTTCTTCCCCCCCATTCCCACCCTCCCACCCCCACTTCCATCCCACCTCCTACTCTCTCTCCCATCCCATTCTTCATTAAGATTCATTTAGTATAGACCAACTCTATACTAAATAAATATTTCAACAGTTTGCACCCACCCACCCACCCACACAAAGTATAAAGTATTGTTTGAAGACTAGTTTTACTGTTAATTGTCATAGTACAACTCATTAAGGACAGAGGTCCTACATGGGAGCAAGTGCACAGTGACTCCTGTTGTTGATTTAACAATTGACACTCTTATTTATGACAACAGTGGTCACCCAAGGCTCTTGTCATTAGCTGCCAAGGCCATGGAACCCATTTGAGTCCAAAAACTCTGACTTTATTTAGACAAGGCCATAATCAAAGCGGAAGTTCTCACCTCCCTTCAGAGAAGGTACCTCCTGCTTTGATGGTCCCTTCTTTACACTGCGATCTCACTCACAGAGATCTTTCATGTAGAAACATTTTTTTGCGACAGTGTCTTCGCTTTCCACGCCTGAAATGCTCTCATGGGCTTTTTAGCCAGATCTGAATGTGCAGCTTTAATCTTACTTTAACCTGCTATTTTTATTTCTGACTGTTTTGGGGATGCCAATCAGAATGCTTTTGCATTTTGAAAAAGTGACATTCAAAGCAGAAAAGAAAAATCTGCCGTTTGAGGTAAGTTTTATTGTTGGCTACAGTCAAAAATGTTCTTTCAAAGTCAAACTGAATAAGGTGAGTGAGTGTCACTTTCTTTTCTACTGAAAGAGAGAGAACTCTGTCAAACAACAGTACGGCTGGCTCCCCATGTGGCTTCTGATTAACTGAGGATGATTCCAAAGGACAGGTCTAAATGTATTTTGAGACCAGGCCACCATTCTTGGATGACTGCAGAACTTTCACAGAGAATCGTACTCTCCTACATTTGGAAGCAAGGTGATCTTGTTGGCAAAGAAAATAGATGATTGTTGCTTTATAGACGTTTTGAAACAATGCAGTCTTTTCAAAAAATGTATTAATTTATTTGAAAGTCAGTTAACAGAGAGAGGAGAGGGAGAGAGAGAGTTCTTCCATCCACTGGCTCACTTCCCAGTTGGCCGCAATGGCCTGGAGCTGTGGTGATCCGAAGCCAGGAGCGAGGAGCCTCCTCTGGGCCCCCAGATGCGGGTGCAGGGGCCCAAGGACTTGGGTCATTTTCTACTACTTTCCAGGCCGTAACAGAGAGCTGGATTGCAAGTGGAGCAGCCAGGACTCAAAACTGACATCCATATGGGATGCCAGCACTGAAAGTGGTGGCTTTACCAGCTACATCACAGCACTGGCCCCACAATGTAGTCTTTGTCAGAAAAGGGGAATATGTGTGGTATTATTACATGTAATAGGGCATCAAAAAAACAGGCATAATTCCAGAAAAATACTCAACCAAACTAAAAGTAACTTTGGAAATGTGTAAGACAAAAATGTTTTTTACATTAATTTAAAAGCACAATTCAGGATTTGCATACGTGAAATTTCTCATATCGGATGCCACTATAAACAGAATCATCTACTGAGAACTTTGAAAGATGTTTTGTGTGTTCTCCCCTCTTCCTGTCCCTCCTGCTCCCTATCTTTTT